GAGAGAGAGAGAGAGAGACAGAGAGAGAGGAAGGACAAATTTCCGTCAGGTGTAGGCAACAGAAAAGGAGTGAGGAGCTGAACTATTATATATGATAGACATAGATTTGCTTCAGGCTTCATTTCCGTCTCATGACCTGATATATCGCTTTGCTAACTGATCTGAGGCCTGTGCATTTCTGCAGCAGAAGCAAAATGAAAACACCCTCTTTGCCATCAGCCTTTGCGGGGCCCCTGTAATTCTCAGGTCCTTCCCCAGATGCAGGAACCACGTGTAAGACTGTGTAAGAATTCATGACTTGACTCAAGGGAAGAGTAAAGAGAAGGATGCAGCAGGCCAAGAAAATGTTCCTCCTAAAAGAAGGCAGCCCCCAGCCCCCCAGCTCCCCCCGGCCCCCCCGGACCCGCTTCTGGGTGCAGCGCAGTATGAGGAAAGTCTCGATGCTGTGCTCCTTGAGGTAGGCGTTGCGCTCGCCCCCACAGCCAGGCTCCACCTCGTAGTCGCCATTCAGGTAGTTGAGTGTGGCCTTGGTGATGTGGATGCGCCTGCAGGTGGGGAGGGCAGGAAATGTGAAATCAGAACTCTAGCTCCCATGCAAACCCAACTGCAACTGGCTCAATCGTGGTTCAAACCCCAGGGCCCCAAACTCTGGCTCAAATGCTAACCCCAACTTCGATCCCAACCCCAACATCCTGTGTCCCTCCAATGTCAAGGTGGCTCAGGTAGGGCCCTTCCCAGCTGTGTCTACCACGACTACACCTTATCACATCTATGTTATATTAGTATAACCATAAAATACATTATTAGCCTGCCAGGAGAACATGGCCTCTAGCCTCACAGACTGCAAACCTGAATATAGGACTGAGTCCAAATTCCCCAGGCTGGCATGAATGTCCTTCTTAGCACAGGCACGCTTTCTCCCAGGCACTCTAAAAGGCCATCTGCCCTACTCCCGTTTCTTGGAAATACTATGTTTTCCTATCCTGTGCCTGTCCTCACCCCATTCCCTCAGCCTGGCACTCTCCCCACTCCACCTGCCTCGTCTGTGCAAATCCTGCCCATCGTCCAGGCCAGCTCACATTCCACCTCCTTTCTGTCTTGGCTACTCTGGAAATTATCTGTGGTTCCTGCCTCCTGTACAACTCTACCCAACCTGTCACATCTCACAAGCCACTGTATTTTGTGTAAACAGCTTCTGGGGGAAGACTGCGAAATTGACCCAATGTTCCCTCCAACTTGCCACTCCTATTACCTGGGGTGGTTTAAGTAATTTGTCAAGTTGAAGAACGTCTGCCAGCCTCAGGTTGCAAGCTACCCTGTCCTGCCCACCTCATCCCCGCTCCTCAGGACAGGTACCCTGGGTGGAGCTGGATGGGAAGCTAAGTCTGGGTCCTGCCCACAGCTCTCACTCACCCAGCCTTGCCTCCAGCCTCCATGTGGTTGGCCAGCGTGACGTCGTTAGACCAGACGTCGAACTGCCACTTCCTGAGACCAAGGACACCGCAGTGTACTCGCCCGCTGTGAATTCCCACGCGCATGTTCACGTTCACCCCTGTCACCTCCCGGACCAACCTGGGGATGGAGCAGGGGTGAGGCTGGGAGAGGGTCAGGGATCAGGCACACAGAGTAGGGGTGAGGCTGGAATGCAGGGAGGTCGGGTAGGGGGTGCGTCAGAAGGTGCAGGGGTCAAAGAGTCATTTGGCGGCCAGTGCAAATCCTGTCTGAGGGCGGGGCTGGGCCCTGGAGCTCAGGTGCTGTGAGCTGTGAGAGGTGCTGTTCCCAGGCTTGGCCACAAGGTGGCGTGGCACTTCACTCTAAAACCCAAGCCCCACTGCTTCCCCCCAATTAGGGCACCTGGGGCCATCACTACTCAGTCAAATTGTGTTCCGAAAATGCAAATGCACATTAGTGCCGACTTGAGCCAGACAGGGAAGTTACAGCCACTCCAAACTCCATTCATTTAATGCTTTTGGATTTATCCACATGGCTGATTCTTCGCCATTAGCAGGATAATGGAGAAAGGTGGTTAAGAGAAGACATATGTCTGCTCAGGAAAGAAGGGGAGCCCAGGCAGGTGCAGGGGTCTAGGGGTGCTCCATGCACTAGAAGGCAGCTCCAATCCCCACCACATGCACCGCGTACCCAGGGGGTCCCCAATAAAAGGCGGGCCCCCTGTGTGGGAAGGGGAGTAGGACAAAAGCTATACATGTCCGGGTATGTGCCTGGGACCCAAGGTCTGCAGAAGAGGGTGCAGGTGTTCTGGGGGAGATACACAGCGTGTACTGACCTGGACCCTCCCGGACACCCTGGGGATGAGCCCACTCAGCCAGCTATGAGGCTGGGAGTCTGATCATGAGAACTCCACCCCACCCCACCGAGGAGAGGCTGACACCCACCACAGGGAAGATTTATGTCATCCATCGTTTCTTTTGTCCTGGGATCAACTCTGCAAATACTTTACTGGAGCTATGCCTTTGGCCACTTGCTTAGGTTGATGATATCTCATTCTACCTTGGTGGCTTAACTACAGGGCCAGCTCTCTCATGAAGCCTCTCTAGGTCCTCTCAAAGGAATCCACGGCTGTCTCTTTGGCCCTCCTACCAGTTTGTCTCTCTTACCTGATGCTGTCCACTCAGCACGTCCAGTATCAGGGCAATGGAGTCCCATCCTCTCTCCCTCAACAGGCTCCATGCTTCTGGCAAGGGACCCACTGTCTAGCCCAGGCACACATCAATCACTGCCCAACAGAACTGAGCCAGAAAACTTAATGAACTGGCCACCTTCCTGGCCAGCCACTCTGACTGCTGACCTTGCCCACTGTGGCTTTCCCTCTGCCCTGCTCAGGCTACTTCTAAAGTTTAAAGTTACAGAACCTGGATGCAATCTGACACGCCCCCTGGATAACATGTGAGCTTGGGTTGTCCATGGTTTTTAATGACCAGGAATCGTTCTATGGCCACCAATGACCAAGAACTGGCCAAAATGCTTTTTGCTATACTCCCAGGAAGGAAGGCTTTCCTTAAAATGGGAACACCTGAGTTTGACTCCCTGCCTAAGAGCATTCCCTTGGGGAGCTGTTTACCCCGTGAGCCCAACCTTTCTCAT